AATGTAGTTTAATACTCATCATAGTCCTTTAATCTAAACATAATATAAATTGTAATTTAAGAAACAGTAAACTTTTCAAAATCTAGCCCCAAAATCATACAAAATTATAGCCATAAGGGCAGCAGCAAAATAATTTTTATGTATGAATAGGAGCAAATGATTTGCAGCAATTTTGTAGAGTAACTAAAGGATACTGGCTTCGGACTTGCTTTAGTTTGTATTTTTTTTTTTTCACTGGAAGATTTTGAGGATTTTTTTTTTTTTTAACCTAGTTTTATTACTTCAGATAACTTTCTTCAAGGCTATCCAAAAAGTAAACAAACTGAAAAACTTGCACTTTTCTTTAATTTGTGTCACTAGAATATTTATTGTATTGTAGAATGATATTGAATTTTGGTTCTTCAATGTCATATTCTTATGCCTGAACAAGCATTATAAATGATATGTACCACAGCAAGACTATGCTTGAGTCTTTTGACATCATCAAAATCTGAGTGGCCTAACGTACTTATCTGTATATTGCAACATGACTGGAATTTTGCTGTGGTCTTACATTGACCGTGGTTAATAGCTAATTGTTTCATCAATCCTTGACGTGAGAAATGTGGTGTTATTTAGGGAATATGAAGGAATGAAAAGAGTGTCTTTATATGTTTAATTTTTTAAGTATCAAATGAACTTGCAACGGCAGCATTTAATGCCCATTCCACTTTTTCAGTTTTTTATATTAATATTTCTCCTTGCATTTAGCTGATGTAAAATGCAGTTATTTGTTATTTTGGTGTAATATGTTTTAACAACAAGTAAAACATTTTTTTTTTTATTTTTTGAAACTTGTTTTTTAATTAGATGCTATGAAATAGGATGTATTTTTTTTTACTACCATATTAAGAAAAGAGCATGGGTAGAATGGTTTCACAATAGTAATTGTCAACACTTACTTAATAGCAAGTGTGCCTTAATAGTAATTACTTAATAGTAAGCGTAGGTTTCTCTGATTGTGTTGCTTTAAGTTCTCTGCTGAAACTAAATAGTGGGCAGTAAAACTGATGTATGCTTCAGAACTGTGACACTCCAATTTTAGTACAACCCCTTCAAAAAACACTGATCTGAAAAAGTTCCTCTTATTTGAAAAAATACAGTTTTAATGAAAGTTAATATGATCTTTCTTGTATATGTTCTCTATGTATGTTATGCACACTAGAATTTACTCTGAGGCAGGAGAGTAGGCTCAAGAATCATAAATTGGAGTGACCTTTCTTTGCAGTAGCTGCAGCTGTCCTCTCTATGATGAGAAACATGATGAAGATATATTACTGACAGTGCATCTAAGCAGGTATAGAGATGTCTATGGCCAGGATTCTCAAATTTGGGAGGTTAAAATTAGGTCCTTTAATCCATATTGTGGTGCCTAAGTAGGTGGCTCAACTTACCTTTTACTCCTAGTACAAGAAATTGGAAAGCATATTTGAAAAGAAAATTCTGTAGATGTTTAATATTGAGCTCCAGAGTTCAAAAATTCTGGCTTTTATTTTTGAAGATACCATGAGTGCCCTCTCAAATGACTCAGAGTGTGGTCTGATGATCCAGCATTAGCTGCAGTTACAGTATGCTTAGGAGAAGGATCCTCCCAAGTCTGTTCTCACCTCTTAGCGTTCATACATTGTTATGTCTAGTTTCAGTCAGTTGGTATCCTCCTTTTGATGACTATGGCAAGTATATTTGTTAATGCAAAGACTAGTGTAGACAGTAAGGTCCAGCACAAAACGTTTTTCATGCTGAAGTGTGCTGAATTTCTAAAATGGCTGTCATGGGAGAGGACAAAGTACCTGAGGCAAGGAATTATTAGTGAAGCAGACAAATTAAGCTATTGAGGAGACATCTGCATTTTTTTTATTGAGAAGAAGGTTTCATTTCAGCTATGCAAATCTGCTGGCTAGGTGCTGGCGAAAGGAGCACTCCTGCTCTCTCTCCATCCCCAGTAATGTGCTGCACTCATGAGAATGTCTGACAAGCCAGTTCAGGAAGATAATCCAGGAAGAAAAACAGCTGAGAGCAGGAAAAGATAACAAATTACAGGGGGAAAGATCTGTCTGGGCCCTTTTGAAGACTTAAAAGGGGAAATTAATTTTCACAGCTAATGTGTTCTTCTGAAGGGAAGATGCTTCCTGAGAATGGTGTTCTGTAATGAAGAGGTTTTCTATAATGAATGTAACATGACACATAAAAGCATGGACTAAGAAGGGGATCCATAAAGTTGCCATGTCAGGCAAGAAGCGAGGAGTAATTTAATGTAAGTAGTTTTAAAGTGCAGGTTTTCTGTAATTTCTTATATCTTTTAGAAATATTTGTAATTTGTCATATATTTTATGTTGCATTTATTGGCATTTCATCCCAACTGGTATTAAATTTGGTATAATTTTAAAGTTACCAGATATTAACAAGCTGTTGCTTACCCAGTTTTTGGGAAATATGTGAACTGAGGTAACTTCGTAAGTACCTTACTTACCATTTGGATTGCCTGGAGAACATGCTAAGAGAGCTGCAGAGCTCGCATAGGGGATTTTGTGGTAACTGTCAACCATTCTGGCATACAGCAGGGTACTGTGGCAGATAGTTCCATAGGGAAGTGTCTTAACAAGCTTTAAGATTTCTAAGGCAGCAGCCCCATCTCACAAAGCATTAGTCTGCTTTTAAAATTTCATTTACAAATTTCAACATGTTAACTTTATATTGGCAGATTTTTCTGCAAATAGCATTTTGAGCTCTGGCAAAAATGTGATTCTGTGCCTATGTCTGCTGGTAGTGCACCAACTTGGTATCAGTTATGAAACTGAGATTTTAATGGATATGTCCTGTCCTGTGCAGCCTCGTCATGGTAGATATAAAAGGAGGGGAAAAAAAAGAAATTGCAAATAGAGTTTGTGAGATCTTGTCATTCCAGAAATGCAAAATTTGAAACAGTGAGAAAGTCTAGAGTAAGGTAAGTATCACCAGCTTCACTGAAACGTAGTTGTGCTACTGCTAGTTTAATGATCAGTAGTCACTGGTGTAAGAATATTCTTTTTCTATCTAGTCAAATAGAGATAAAATAGTTTTCAGAAACAAGGTTAATAATTTCAGTACAGTGAATGGTATCTACAGTTCCTAGGACTACTGTAAAAAAAAAAAATCAATTACATTTTCAAGAAAAATGTGGAAAAGATTCTGACCTCAAAGTGAGATTCTTTTCAGAATTTTGGCCAATTATAGTTGAGTTACTATTTAAACTTTTAGCTTAGAATTGTGATACAAAATGCATCTAAGCTGTGTATCTTTCTATATTGTAGATGTCTTTATCATCAGGATTTTTGCTTTTCAATTTTTGTCCTGTATCATAAGTTTACAGAGCAGTATTGCATCTCTTCCTTATAGCATAGTTAGGGTCATGCTTTATTTCTCGCATTTCAAAATTACCATAATGGACCTTTTGTTTAGTTTATTTTTTTAATGTTTGCCAACCTTTATTAGAAGACTTTAATAGAGCTTGCTGAGAACCTTCTACTTCACACTAAAAATAATTATATGTCTAGTGTAATTAGCACTGGAAATGTGCTGCTTTTCTAATTACTTTTTTTTCTGTAAGAATACATTTTCTTTTATACCACATTATTTTGAAGTCTCTGAATTTAATCTTTACTGCACTGGAATGTAGTAAAAAACTGGAATGAATCTTTGACGATGTCAGTTCACTGTCTTTTACAGTGGTCTTTCTCTGAAATCCAATAATTGGGCTAATTTGAATTATAAATAGTACTTTGACATTAATTTCCTTAGTTACTTTTTGGACAAATGATATAATCTTGTACTGGTTTTGCCTGCTATATCCTTAGCTATATATTGCATATGGATTAGTCATTAGTAAAGAAGGGAGAGATGCTTAACATCACAACATGAGAAGTACTAAGCGTTATTAGGTATCACTACTGCATATGATACTGTGTGTGGTCTGTTCCTTTTGCACATAGATGGCATCTGGTGATGGTAAAAAGTGTTGGACTTGGAACAAATTTAAAACTATTTTCCCATCACTTTGGACAAGCTCTGTGTTATACTTTTCTTTCCATTCCTGCAACTGACAACTAACAGTTGATCAACAGTCACTGCAGTGTTGATGTAGCTGCAAAAAGCTAGATTTCTTTGCAGACTTATTGCTGTTAGTGTTAGACTGGAAAAGGGGTAGTAAGTTTAGAGAGGAGTTTAGAGAGTGGGGTCATAACAAACAAACATACAAATAAGGCTAAGAAAGAATCCTCCAAGGAGGAGAGAGAAATTTAAAGAAGAGACAAAAAAGAGACTGTGAGTATGAAGAGTAGAAAGATGACTGGAAGAAAAGTTAGATATGAGGAGAACGAGTTTTTTAAAAAGGTAAGCCATTTTAATTCCATTTCAGTGATACCTAATCCTCATACTGTGTGTCAACTTTCTTCTCCTTTTATCATCTCTGTTGTTAATATGAATTTATCATGATAATCTGTTGTATGCTTTTAATGTCATGCTGTATTAAGAATTCCCAACCTCAGCGATTATCTTATCACTTTCTCCTCATTCATCTCAAAGAAATAAAAGTGTATTGTTGTTGTTGTTGTTATTGTTGTTATTATTAGACACCAAATAGCACCAATTCACATATGTAGTAGGTATTTATTTATATCAGAAGTCTGTTTGCCAGTAGAAAATGAGCTGTTCTGTTTTCTGGTTTGCATTACACCATTACTAGTAGTAGCTGCATCAGACAAAGTTAAGCAGATCTGGTATACTGTGGTGTTGTAAAAGATGTTGCCCTCTGGAGCTTTTCAGGAAGCTTTTCTAATTTTTGATAATTGCATATGGTCTGGTTTCAAGATGCAAAATGATTGCAGAATCCTCTTTTCAACCTCTATTAGATACTGTTGAAAGGCTGAGTTTTGCCACCCTGAAGGCAAAAATTTAGACTTGCTATTTTCATCTCCCTTTTTCAGGTATCCAGCTGCCAAAGGAAGATGAGATTTCAGTACCCATGACTTCAAGCTCCCCAGTTAAGGACACTGGGGACAATGTTGATCTTGCCATTGAACAGGAAGAGAAGATCAAAGAGGAACCTTTAACCATCTCAGAACTGGTATACAATCCTAGTGCCAGCTTGCTGCCTTCCCCTGTTGATGATGAGATCGACATGCTCTTTGATACCTGTCCAAGAGTAGAGAATGAGAAAGATGATACAGATTCATTTGAGGAACTGGAAGCGGATGAAAATGCATTTTTGATTGCAGAGGAGGAAGAACTGAAAGAAGCTCGGAAAGCACTTCGGTGGAGCTACGACTTTCTAATGGGAAACATAGAGGTGAATGCCTTTGTGAAGAGTTTCTCCAGACTTCTCCTTGTAGGCCTTGGACTGTTGTTGTTTGTGTTCCCTCTTCTCCTTGTTCTGTTGGAGTCAGGCCTTCAGATCTCTTTTCTCCATGAAATCCGACAGACTCCGGAGTTTCAGCAGTTTCATATCGAGTATTACTGCCCCCTTAGGCAGTGGGTAGCTTGCAAAATAAACTTCATTCGTGACATCCTGGGCAGCTCTTAAATTTTAAATAAGTATGATACAACTAAGGGCTATATTCAAAATTTCAGTTAGTGTCAGCTTTCCATAACTCCTCTGGGGCCATCAGTTGGTAGCTGTCTTCACATCCAGTTCATTACAGACTCTTCATGTACTTAAGTTCCTTTTACAAAGTTTAATTACCCCTTTAGTTATAGGCTTGTACAGTCACCTTTCAGTAACCAAAAAGAAGCTTTATTTTAATTGCATTTCAGACTTACTGCTCATCTATTACACCATATAAGATGGAGTCACAATAAGTTTCCATTGTCCTTAACCTTTCAATCCATGACACTAAATCCAATGAAACTGAAAGAAAAACGTTTTTGAATATACTCCTTAGTGCAGCAATCTCTTCTACCAATGCCTATACGAGCAATGTTTATGCTGGGTTTTTGGTTTCAGTTTGTTTTCTGTTTGTTTAGTTTTTTACATTTTTATGTGTTTAAAATATTTTGGTAAATTTTTAGCAAAAGACAACTTCTGATGTTATTTAAATGTACAAATTGGTAAGAATAATGCACAAGGGCATGTAGGGTGTTTTTAGTGTTTTAGCAATGATTTGTTTTTAAACTACTGGCTGGAGAATGAATGAGTTTAATAGAGCTCTATACAGAGGGACTGTGGTTTAGGAAACATACAGAAAGTTCACTCAAGTTCACTAGGGGCTGCCTGAGGGAGGTGAAAGGACACCAAGCGTGCAGAAGAATTTCTGAAAGCCACATCTGAGAAACTTGAGAAATTGAGCAGAACTGAAAATAATGATCCTTCCTCTTATCTGTCAGGTTGTCATACACTTTATCAGTGCTGTAGAAAGTCTCTATGAGATAGGCCCAAAGTACGTTTTGGAAGCAAGAGCGTCTTCAGTCTAAGTGTAGATTTTTGTACATAACATGGAAGAAGATAATACTAAGTAGCAAAGCAAAACAAAAACAACAAAAAACTCAAAACCCTAGCTAAATCAGTAGGTGAGTGACCTACTTTTAAAAATTATAGAGAAGAAAAATGTAAAATATATTCCTTTTAAAAGCAAAGCATTAGGCTGTACAGTTGTCAGTATTCTACTGACTCACAGTTAAAGGCTTAAACACTTAGAGAGATGCATCTTCATCCTTGATGCCTTACTAACCTCTAAAACAACATATTGTCTGTGCATACTAATATACTTCCTTTCACATACAGCAGCATACTTACCCGATTTCCCTTATGAGCCCACTTACATGATCTAATGCTGTTTTGTGTAATGTGGATTTGTATATCTAAAGGTATTCCAGTATAGCTTAGAGAATATACATAAATAAAATCTTGTCAATGCTGAGAACATTTGAAGGCCCTCAAATGTACCGCAGAGGTTGTATTTAAGAGGAGAAAGTTTTTATTTGTTCTTCCCACCCCCAGATCTTAGTGCACACATATTTTGTATTTAAACTAGGGAACTCTGATTTTGACCTGAGTCGTTCTCCTGCTTAGAGATTATCAATTGGAGACATATTTGAGGTTATTTTATTAGTTGTGCATTTAACATTGTAACCACATATCTTAATTCCTACTGAATAAATTCCTTTAGTTTTGTTATAAGAGAATTTGGGGGTTTTTTATTTTCTCATGTAAGTCTTTGCAAATGTCTAGTTTGAAAATGGCAGTTTACTTTGAGGATTTCTCCTTTCCTTCTAATCTCCTCCAGTTTTTAAAGGACAAAGTACTTACAGGGTTAGGAGTTCCTTTTCTCAGTTGAAAACTTCTGGATTGCTATTAATTTCCCAACCAACAAAGGATAAATTAAACAATGGCCTTTTTACTCTTATCTTTGCTTGTCCTTGCCAATCTATTCCCCAGAAGAATCATTATTGATTAGTTACTTGATGTGTATTTCTTCTTGTGCTACTTGCAGCTAAATGATCCTTTCCCATGAAGTAATAATCGTTCAGCCTAATAGAAATGAAGAGTGAAGTCTAAACATTTGGCCTTTAATGGGAAATTATTCACTTGCATTGTTTCTAAACAAAGGTGTTAGAAAAGGTGTTTCGAGTGGTGAAGGCTGTGAGAGCTGGCATACTGCTGAATTATGGAGACATGGTTCTATTACAGCTCCTATATAAGTCTGGTAATTATTTTAAAAAAAGATCCTATGCTCAAAAATATAGTCTTGTCCCTGTAAATTACAGCGCTGCAGAAGTAGGAGCATCTTTAATCTTGATTTAACTCTATTAGAAAATAGCTGGGTTGCATGAGGACATAATCTCAGAAAATGTGCAGCCCAGTGAAGTTTTATGTAGGGTTAAATGCAAGTATGTGTGTGCACATGTTCCTGCCTTTACTAACCATGTGCATACATTCAAAGCCTGGCCTTTTAAAATTATTCTTTTCCTTCCTCCTGTTACTCTCTGGTCTATCAAAGTAATTTAATTGAAAGTCATGAGGGTCCTATAATTTAAACTCCAGGACCACGTAATACATACAGAAGGATATGGTTGGGCATATTCAGAGAGAGTATCAGTCTAGTGTTTAATTGGTAAAGATGACGGACTTGGATTATGGAGCATTTGTAGGTACAGTATTGTGTATTTCTGTCTGTGCTTGGATTATATTGTAAAATGCTATGTACTTGAAATCTATTTTGTGGTTTGTCTAATGTTTATAAACACAACTCTGGGAAGAATTAAAAATGGTTTTATTTCATGGAGACTAAGGGGAAAATATACCTGTAACTTGAGCCTTATCTTTGTACAGTGAATTTCACATTTCTATATGTCAACATCCTGATTGTTTTGTATGTTGATATGATGGCAGGAATCCCTAATAAAAATACACTGGAAAAAAGCTTTCTGCAGTTATGACTGTTCCTTATGGCAAAGGACATTTAAAAAATAATAGTTTTTGTTGAGAATTAGTTGGTACATGGTATAGTACAGATTTCTTAGGACTCTATAATTTTTTTACTTACTTTTTTATTCATCAACTGGAGAGACACTAAGAGAGTGCTTTAAAATAAGGTGTTATTAATGTGGCTTCAGATGCACTAACCAAGGGCATAATGGTTTGCCCAGTTACTATGTAAGAGTTAGTCACAGTCTTGAATTTGCCCTAAAATAAAAGTTCTACACACAGAATATAAATTGAGGAGCCTGGTTTTAAAGTCAGGCCCTGGCTGTAGACATATGCCTGCAACCTGTTGGTAGGCAGATCTGTCCAGAGTGTTAGGCAAGCCAAGCTGTGCAGCTTTCAGATAGAGCTTGCTTACATTACATTGGCTTGGAGCTCCAGCAGTGCAAAAGGATCTGGTAAGAAACAAAGTCTGCAAAGATGCAATTGAATATAATTTTGGGGAGCTAAGTCAGAGAAACCAAGGCTACTTCTTGAGCATGTAAAACATTTAGATGCAGACATGTCTGTACCATATAGAAAGTGCCAAAATCTAAATGGACTCCGGCAGTTTGAAATGTAAAGGGCCAGGACTATGTACTACGGGAAGACCTATTTATTCAGTTAAAACTGAGTAGATTATAATGCTGCTATAAAAAGAGGTTGCATTCCTTTTTTAACATAAGGATACAGCATATCCTCTTCAACATTGTTTGCGTTCTAAGTACTTACCACAATTTATGAAAATAGTATGTACAGTTTGGGTAGAAATTCAGCATTTGTCATAAATTCTTTCTGAATAATGACACACAAAATTTCTTTAAAATTACAACTCACTGAAATGTCATGCTAAATGTGCATTTGAAGAAATCAGGCTGCCTTAATCGGCACTAATGGTTGCTGAAGGTAACTGTTAGAACGTGACAACAGCTATGTTGGTCAAACTGGAGATCACAAGCACTGGAGTGCAAGAAACTTTATCTAGATGTCAAGGTACATTTCTCAACTTTTAATTTCATTTTGTTGTTTTTTTGTTTTATCTAAATCCCAAAGGAAGTAATTGTCACGTCTGTTTGTATGGATTTGCTGTAGGTTTTTTTACAGCTGTTTTACAGCTGTACAGCTTTTACAAGGTCTCTGAGGCACCTTGTGAAGATCTCTACCATTACAGCTGTTAAATACCACGCTACAAGAACTTTGATCCCACAGTCTTATGTCTTTCATTCTGCCCCTCTACAAAGGTGAATCCTTCATCAGCCTTATCCTCAGAAATTTGTAGGAGCTGCTGTGATGTTTTGAAGCTCTCTTGCTTGCAGTTGTTTTTCTTTTATGGCAGGTTATTGCATTTCATCTCAGCCAGATGACCTCCTTGCAGCAATTCTATCTTGTACTGTTACAAAGGTTCACAGCTTTCCCTGTGCCTGTCTCGTAGCTCCCTCCCAGAAAACATGGGCAGTCTCTGTCCCTGTGAAGTGATTCTTAATGGTGCAGTGGGAATTTAAAGCTGTGGCATAACTTTTAGCACAAAAGTTTTCATGCTATGACCAATCAGTGCTTCTGCATTATGATGAAGAACAATAAAGCATTATTTCTACTTCACTTTCTACTTCACAATTATGTAGTGGCAGAGTTGCATTCTCTATTTATTTAATTCTGACTTTTCCATGTTAGCTTGTTTTTAATTTCAAGAGAGATATGTTTGCTGGGCTCACGAAATGGTAGATACTTCAGAGAAGTGAAGTCGCCTGTAGAATCTTCATCAGTGTCCTGATGAACAGATGCCACCTAGTAATTGCTAGTCAGATGAAGAGATAGATGAACAGAAGATGAAGAGAATATAATAGGCTTAAATGAACTAGAAATTGAGGTGAAATAGGTTACATTTCTTTGATTGAAGAATAATTAACTGTATTGGTTGAATAGGGTATGTATTACTGGAAAGAGCTGTAGACAGAAGAGCATGGAAAGCTTCTCAATTGCAATCCTATATATCCTAGTTTGAATCTATAATAAAAAGATCTTCTAAACATAATGTATTCTGAAAAGTCTGTTTTTAAAACCACTTTAAAATATTTTCTGATTTTCAGTATTATGCACAGGAATAGTTTCCTAAAGAGAAGTTT